ACAATCAATTATTGAATCGGTGTTTCTGCAATTGAAACGGACTCAATTAAAAACAAATATACAGTTTCTCCGCAGGGGGTCCGCCTTATATTCCCGCTTGACCGCTTTCTACTTCCAGGTTGGCTCACTCGACCTTTGCCGCGTAGCGGCGCGGCCGGAACTACGCGCGAACACGCGAGCGCGTGGGCCGCCAAGTTGCGGGTCGCGCTACTGTATCGCGGATTGTGCTTTATAGTATATCTAGACCGAGCGTTTGCCTTTATTTAAAGAGTGGAGGTAAAGATACACGTAGAAAAGGACATACTCTGTTCCGTGCTCTTTGCGTTCTCTCTCGCTCGCATGTAGCGTAGTAAAAGAGTACGCTACTACCAAGCTCCCAGCCAGCGACCTACATAGTAATTAAATTTACGATACATGAAAAAAATTAGCTTAATTTGCTCTTTCATAATATACATTTTTTATAATTTGCTCCATTTTACTTTTTTTATAAATAAATGATAAAGTTAATAACAATGTAAACGTCAATATAAATGAAAATCATTAAAATTTGAAGGTTCTCAAGGTACAGAAAAATTGCTCTTTTTTTTGTTTAAATTTGCTCCATCTTTAAAAATTAATTATTTACAGTATTTATTGAGAAAAAAATTAATAATTGCTTATACATTTTGCGGGATGTCAAGACATTGTGCGCATGCGCAAAAGTATTTAGCGCCTGCGAAACAGAAACCTGAGCGCGCCATTTTTCAAATTATTCATTTTTTTTAAATTCATTTAAGAAATATTAACACTGAAAGAAAATGATTGAAATCAAACGGTAAATTGTAAACTTTGTTTTGTTATAGTATGTGTGTAATTCATCCAGCTATATACCCAAGGTCCAATTAAAGTTCAATATAATTGTTTTAAAAAACTTGGCATATTTGAAAAAATTAATAAATTTATTGGATTCAAATAAATATTTATTTCAATACTCTTTTACACATTATTTATTCAAAACAAGTAAATATTTATTTAGTTTGAAAAGGATTTCTTACATCAAATGAATATTTTTTCAGATCAATGTTATTAATTTCAAATAAATGATGTGCGAAGAAGTGATAAATATTTATTTGATTTCAATCATTTTTTTTCGATGTTAATATTTCTTAAATAAATTAAAGAAAACTGAATATTTTGAAAAATCGCGCGCCGGGTTTCTGTTGCGCAGACGCTAAATACCTTTGCGCATGCGTACAATTTCTTGATATCCCGCAAAATGTATAAAACAATTATTAATTTTTTTCTTAATAAATACTGTAGATAATTAATTTTTAAAAATGGAGCAAATTTAAACAAAAAAGAAGCAATTTTTCTGTGTCTTGAAAACCTTCAAATTCTAATGATTTTCATTTATATTGACATTTACATTGTTATTAACTTTATCATTTATTTATAAAAAAAGTAAAATGGAGCAAATTATGAAAAATGTATATTATGAAAGAGCAAATTAAGCTGATTTTTTTCGTGTATCGTAAGTTTAATTACTATGTAGGTCGCTAGCTGGGAGCTTGATGGTGAGTACGCTATGCTACATGCGAGCGAGAGAGAACGCAAGGGGCACGGAACAGAGTATGTCCTTTTCTACGTGTACCATGGCCCTCACTCCTCAACACTCGGTCTAGATATACTATGTCTATGGTTGGGTCATTTAGCTATTTTGAGTAATTTCCTACATATTCGTGTAGGAAACTGTATAATACGTATGAAAACGTAGGAAACGTATTATACATGTATTTTTGCGTATACAGTTTTCAGTGTCCTCTCGTGAGTCTGGGCCTCGATTCTTGAATTCATGCGATTATTTACGTATGCGATTAATGTCGCATGAAAATTTTCGTATGCGATTAGTCGAAGATATTCTTGACGATTCGGTGGTCCAGAGCAACGCGATTGGTAGAAATCAAAGAGAATTAGATAGAGTGGAAGGTCCCATAAGAGCGTAAAGCCCGTATCAGACTACGCATTGAAGATTAAGATTGAAATTTGACCAATCAGGATAAAGAAATTTTAGTTCCTTTTGTTCTGATTAGTCAAATTTCAAGCGTAGCAAATCACAATCGCAAATGTAATCGCAATCGCAGCCGCGAGCCGCTAGTGTGATTCGGGCTTTACGCGATATAGAATTCGTATTGATGGAAGCACTCATTTCATGCAATCAATGTCACTTTTTGATCAAAGTGAAATGTGTTACATAATAAATTTTAATAGTTGCGATCGAATTTGAACAAGAAGAAGCTAAGTAATTGGGCATCAGACTCGGTAGATGGCATTGATCGCTGTATACGCTTACCTTCCACTCTATCTAATCCTCTTTGGTAGAAATTTTATAGTTATGGAAAAGCGTGTGTGACAGGCTTAATTTGTTGACGCGTCCTGTGTGCAAGAGGATCCTAAAGTGCAAAAGGGAATTATACTGTGATCCCTTAAACCTTGAGAATTTTTCTGACGCAATGTCGCAACGACCCAGGCACTTTGTGAATGAGTACCGTGAGCGTGAGGAGGAGATCGTTAGTTGTGCGACATCAATGCGACGCGATATTGATGACAGTCTGTGTGCCGCTAAGATTAATCTACGCAAGATTCTGCAGCGTATTGTTGATAAGGAACCGCCCGAACGTGCGGAAGCAGATGGTGGTCTGTATGTTGGTGCATCCGGTATCTCTTATGCGTTTCTACGACTTGCTAAACACACTCTATTGGAAGCTGAGACTGAAAAATATCTGTCACTGGCCGAGCGTTACTTACGTTCATCTCTGGCAATGGTACTACGTCGCGAGGGCCGTTCCGGCACTGGCTTCCTTTTGGGTTTGTATGTATACTTTGTTAGGAACATGTGAGTGAAATATGATGGAAAGATAGGGAAATTTAAATTATAGATTGGACTGTTATTCTCGAATTTCTTAAATATCACAAAAACGATAATATAATTATTAAGCGCGAGATAAAATTATTAATAATTTATTTAATATATAGCATATTCTCTTTCTCATGTAATAAAACAAGAATAGATCAGTTACACACATAGAATGTCAACTTTATTATGTGTTCAAAATTTAATATTTAAAATATTTAAAAAAAAATAATGTGCCTGTGTATGAGATGTAAGATGTAGAGATGTGAAAAACCTTTTTAATAGAAAATAAACGTCTTTTTTATTCATTGAAAAAATAAATTCGTTTTTCTTTTTTATTTATTTTTGTGTAATAAAATATTATTTTTCTTCACATTTGTTTGTTAATAAAAAAACTAAAGTTTTCATATGTTTTTAATTAATTTTAATGGATTAATAAAACTTGCGGCAAATTAAACTAAAAAAAACATGATATGATTCAAATAATTTTTAGTTAAATACATAACAAAAATTTTTATTATGTATCTAACTGAAATTATCCAAATTATGTTGTGTTTTAGTATCATTCTAACTAAAAATCTCATTAAGCCATTAAAATTGTTTTTAAAATAGTAAAATAAAAAATAAAAGGATTAGTTTCTAGTTTATAAAATGTTTACATTCGTGAATTGCGAATGGATGGAGGAAGACGATTTTAAAAGATTTTAATACTCTTTAATGATAGTAAAAATGTTAAAAATACATATATAAGAACAATAAAATTTTGAAAAAACAAGGCGTAATTTTTTTCATAAAACGTATTTTATAAAAAGAAATTTAGTTTTTTTCTATTTTCTCTAGTGATCTATATTTAATAAAATGATAAAATATTTAATAAATTGATAAAATACTTATTAAACTGATACATATTCTATTTTGCATTTCTAGTTTCTCCCCTATTAAATTGTATAGTAACCAATATTGATAAATATAGGAATAATATAATGAAATGAAACAATAATATATATAATTTCTTCCTATTGTTATGTTTGTATTTTTTGACAATTAAGATAGAATAAAATTTGGAAATATATAATGATCTATTTAAAGTAAATGATTTGATTATTACAGGAGATTGGGGCATTCTAGCAGTGGGCGCAGTCCTCGCAACCGTCCGAGGCGATGAAAAGACTGCTAGTGAATTTGTGAAGCGCTACACAGAGACGGGAGTACGCTGTAAGGAAGTGAACTTTCTGAAATGCGGATCGGACGAATTCTTTGTCGGTCGCGCTGGCTTTTTGTATGGTGCGTTGTGGTTGAACCACAAGATGAAAAAAGTCGTCGTTCCACTCGATACGATGCATGAAATCGCGCGGACGATCGTTGTCTCGGGCAAGATGTACGCACGAGTGCATAACAGTCCATGTCCATTAATGTACGCGTATTATGGCACGGAATATCTAGGCGCTGCGCATGGACTCTGTGCAATTTTACAAGTCCTTATACAGGTGGTTATAATAAATATCCATTTTCTGGTATAATCACACTGGTCGACAAAATGAGACCTTTTTTTGCCTTAAGTTCTATCAAGTTATTTCTGGTAGATTTTTTAGCGCTGATTACGAATCTGGGAGTCGATTGTGTATCTTGAAATGAAGTGAAAATTACAAAAGTGAACAGATTTACTAGATTTCGACAAATGAAATCGTAGATATTCTAGTGAATGTCTTCACTTTTGTAATTTTCACATTATTTTAAGATACACAATCAACTCCCTGGTCGTAAAAATGGCATATTCCGTCCAGTTTTTGAGAAAATCTCAGTCAAAGTTGCTAAAATAGGCGTTTTTGAGTGAGTTATATCTTTCGATGTCAAAAGTACCAGACAGGATAGGTTATCTTAAAAAAAAGTGGTCGAAATATAAGAAACATTATTTATCGCAGTGTCCCCAGTCATACGTCTCCAATTGTCCGTTACTAACATTTTTTTTAAAATTCTAATTATGACAGTCGGTATGTATACGTTTTTGTGGGCGCTATCAGTTAAGAACAAAATTAGAATAGTTTTTGACATTAGTATTTTAGTAACGGACAATTGGAGACGTATGACTAGGGGACATTGCGATAAATGATGTTTTTTTATATTTCGACCACATTTTTTTTAATAAAATCTTTTCTGCCTGGGACTTCTGGCATTTTTATTATGAAGTATAAGTCTTGAGCTTCATTTTGAGTTGTCATTGCTTTCTGGAGCACCCTCCCCCCCATTGAAAAATATAACTCACGCAAAGATATAAAAAACGCCTATTTCAGCAACTTTAACTGAGATTTTCTCAAAAACTTGATGTGATACGCCATTTTTAGCCAAATTTGTAATCAGCGCTAAAAACAAAAAAAGTTTAATAACATGTGTGAAAACGAACCAATAACGAGTTATTTCAATTTCAAGATATTTAAAATAATTTTTTAAAATATGTAAAGAGAGAAAGATCTAAGCTGCCTTTAAACTAAAATACCTTTGGGTACTGAGGATAACTTTAGTCTTTAACTGCCCGTCATTTCTTAAACGTCTCCTACCAAGAACAGTGGATTGATAGAGACGATTTAATTTCTTGGCCCCTTGTTCATCAGATATCAATCCCATTGATTTTTATTTATAGAGTCATCTTAAACATTTAGGTTACGCTGCAGGACCTATCCAAAATATTCATAAACTTCGAGAGCGCATTGTTAATTCGTTTGATATCGAACGGAACTCTTTTATTATTTTTAACTAAGTTCGGCAATTCCTGAGAAGGCGTGAAACATGTGTTGCTGTTGGAGGAAGTCACTTTGAATAGTTCTTGTAACTTGTGAGTTACTATATTATGAGTAACTATATGAGTTTGATATTAATTTATTTGTAATTATGTTGGTTATGTGTTTACAAGTTTAAGAGGCTGCGTTCCGATATTCACTGTCAGTACTGAAAATCTATAGTGTACGTGACGTAAACTAGATTTACATAGATATAACATAGATTTTCAATACTGATAGTGAATATCGAAACGCAGCCTAAATTAGTGAAACGTGTTAATGGTTGGTTTTCAGACGTTCAGATGTTTATTAAGAGGGCACTCCTACCTAGAAATTTTCAAAAAATTGATTTTTGGATTTTGACATCTTGTAGTACATCTTGAAAATATTTTTAGAAAATTTTAAGTTAATCCAAAATAAAATTGACAAAGTTGTAGATGTATAAAGTACATTTCTCGAAGTAGCGCTCAGAGCAGGGGGCCTATCATGGTTCTTGAAACAAGGTGAAAATTACAAAAGTGAACAGATTTATTAGATTTCGACAAATGAAATTGTAAATACTCTAGTGAATTTCTTCACTTTTGTAATTTTCACTTCGCATTTTGTAATTTTCAGAGTCGCATTTAAAATTTTATCCGATGAATTAATTTTCGAACGTAATCTTGAAGGCATACATTTATTGGATATCGCGTTATGGAAGATTCACATTGATTTAAAATCCGATAATATTATCCAATAGAAAATACGGACTCGAACGACATTTTTGTTCCTAGAAAACAAACTCTCCTATTGGACGTCGGGCACGATATAAATCCCACAAGTTTATCTTTAATCTCAAATATGCAATAGATTATCTGCAGTCGCAACATGAGAACATGTCAAAGAATTTGTTTTGACAGAGCACAGCAAGTATTATACAACTATAACTATACAAGCATTGGCGAGCATAATGACGTTCCCATAGCATATATCGATGATGAAATTATTATTATTGAAAAACTGAATTAGATCGTTCAATGTTGACAATGGATTGCCCCATAGTAACAAGTGAAATGTGTCTTCTATGATGTAGACATACGTGTAAAAAAAACTCCTATAATAATCGACAATTATAAATAATTGCTAAAACTGTTATACGTAAGCAATCGTCGTCACATGATATACTCAGTTTAAAAAACTTTATTTATGCGTCATAAATGTTTAAAAAATGTGAGAAAGAAACCACACATTTTACATATATTTATCTACACACGCGAATATAGATTTAATAAAATGCGATCTCTTATATTAGAATATCAATTTTATAGAGAGAACAGTTAAGTTGATGTATGCAAAGTTTCAA